CAGAAGGGCAGAAATAAAAGTGCAGAAAACAATGAAACTGAAAACAGAAAAATGATGGAGAAAATAAACTCAACCTGGTTATTTGAAAATATTGATGATATTAATATACCTTTAGCAAGACTCCAAAAGCAAAAGAATCCGTAAAATATAGTAATAAGTATGCAAGAACTATATAAAGAGCATTGAATCTCCCCTTTATCTACTTCTGCCATCCAATTTCTTGTCTTCAAATCATTTGTCAAAGATGGTTTCTTGGACATCCTCCCAGAGCTATGTTCTTTGCATTTATAAATATGTGTGTATGCTGGTACATTTTCTGCACAAAGGCTGCACAGTAAAATTTCTATCCTTACCTTATCCTTTCTATCCTGCACCTTTTTACTTGGATATTTATTTATTTGGAATATGGGTGTATCATAATCTATTGGATCAGTCCTATATTGATGGGATTTAGGTAATTTCTACACTTGGTATTATAAACTGTGCTTCAATGAATATCCTTGTATATAAGTCCATTTACACATGAGAGTTTACCTGTAAGATAAATTGCTAGGAGCAAAATTGTTCAGTCAAAAAGCTCAAGTATTTTTAGTTTTGTTTTTTAATTTTTATTTATTTTTTTGTGATACTGGGGATGAGCCCAGGACCTTGTGTATGCTAGGCAAGCACCATACCATTGAGCTATATCTGTATCCCTGTACTTTAAAATTTTTTTGGTTATTGTTGTTATTGACACAGGGCCTCTCTATATAGCCCAGGTTGACCTCAAACTCATGATCCTTCTGCCTCTCTGCCTTCCAAGTGCTGGGATTACAGGTACATACAACAAGTGCAGCTTGTATTTTTAAATTAAATAGATTATGTCACAATGCTGCTCGTAGAGGCTATGCTGGTGCCTGTTTCCCCATGCCCTTGCCAATAGAGAATCTTATTAACTTTTTGCTTTTGGAGGCTAAAGCCTTTAGGCCTGTAAGTGATGGCAAGCCTCTGAGAGGTTTCAGATTTGTTATTATGGAAAGATCCCTGGGGCTGCAGCAGGGATAAGGGTTTAGCAGAGGTAAAGACTAGAATCACAGATATCAATTAGGAGGCTTTGCAGTCGTCCAGGCAGAGACGGCATTGCCAGAAGCTTGGGTCAGGCAACTGGCAGAGGACACCGATGGGATTGGATGTGGAGATGATGAGGAAGTGGCTTCGAGAGACTGGACAGACCAGGCTGGCGGCCAGGAGTGTGAGGGAGCTTAATCAGGAGCAGCAGCCGTGGCTGAGTGTGTAAAGTCAGCACTCTCTTTGTGAACATATAGATCGTATGTCTGTATTAATATTGTCTAAATTAACAGATTTTATGTTGATCTTAATATCTATCTGAGAGTGTCAGAAGTTCAAAGAAGGTGGCCCACACATGGAATCCCTGATACTTGGGAGCAGAAGCAGGAGGATGGCCAGTTCAAGGCCAGCCTGGGGAACTTAGTGAGAGCTTGTCTCAAAATAAAATAAAAAGTGGAGGGGATGGAGCCCAGCAGTAGAGCACTTGCCTAGCATACATGAGGCCCTGGGTTCAGTCCCCACCACTGAAAAAAGAAGAAGGAAGAGAAGGAGAAGGAGAAGAAGAAAGAGAAGAAGGAGAAGGAGAAAGAGAAGGAGAAGGAGGAGAAGGAGAAGGAGGAGAAAGAAGAAGAAGAAGAAGAAGAAGAGGAGGAGGAGGAAGGGGAGGAGGAGGAAGAAGAAGAAAGAAGAAGGGGGAGGGAAGGGGAAGGGGAAGGGCAAGAAGAATTTAATATATTACTAACTACTATTTATTTAATTTCTTTTTTACACTTTTTAATTAATTGTATATTTTTACCAGCATATATTTGCAGTACATAATGTTTACATTTATTGTGGAGAGTTTTTACATGTACATAACACATCTTAATTCTTCTTTGTCCCCTCTCCTCCCATCCCTCCCTGCTCCCTCCAACTCTTATTTATTTATTTATTTATTGGTACTGGGGATTGAATTCAGGATGTCGCGATTGCCAGGCAGACGCTGTGCCCCTGAGCTAAATCCCTGGCTCCCTCCAATTCTTGATCTCCTTCCCATTTTTTTCTTGTTTATATAAAATTTTTTTTTCTCCTTTATGTGTATGGGTTTTTGTGTGTGTGTGGTACTGGGGATCGAACTCAGGGCCTTGTGCATGCTAGGTAAGCACTCTACTACTGAGCTATATCCCCAGACTTCAATTCTCTTTTTAAAAATCCTTTTTCTCTTCCTTTCCTCCCCTCCTCCATCTCTTGTTCCTCTTTCCATTTGAAAAAGATCTCCCTACTTCCTATTAGCTATCCTTTATTTTCCTCTTTATTTATATTTTTGGATTTCTCATATAAGAGAAACTATGCAATTTTTAAACTTGTGTGTCTGATTTATTTCATTTGACATTATGGTCTTGAAATGCAACCATTTACCTACAAATGCCTCAAATTTGTCCTTCTTCAGAGGTGAAAGAATGAATTACGGAACAATGGTTAAATATTTTAAACAATTGTCCTTCTTTATGGCAGAGTAGTACTCCATTATGTATAAATACCACATTTTCTTTATCCATTCACCCCAAAGCATTTATACTTGTTACTATTTTCCTGGTTGTCAGAGAAGTTAAAGAGCATTATTATTAAAAATTTCCAGGGACAGAGATTTAGCTCAGTGGCACCGCACCTGCCTTGTGAGCACAAGGTCCTGAGTTCGATTCCCAGTACCAAAAAAAAATTCTTCAGTCAGACTTGTTACTAACATTCACCAAACTGTAATTTTTCCCATATTTATAATATTCATTTGAAATACCACAATTAGTAACAAAAATTTAACTTTATACTTAATTTAAATATATTTTAATTATATGTTTTAAAGTCTTTTCTTATGTGATACGTTTGTTTTGATTTTGTGTTTGCTTTTCACATTTACAAATGTGACTTAGTTTGTGGTTTGAATTTTTATAATGTGAATTATTTGATCTGTTCAGTTAATATCTATTTATATTCTTAATGAGCATGATGAATCATTTTTGCTTCCGCCTCTACTAGCTTAAAGTCTTATTCCTCAGAGCTTATCTCTGTCTAAATACCCCCTACTTGGGCTTTCAGGTTTGAGCACTGTCTTTGGTCCGCATCTTTTGTGAGTGACAGCATCCAGTGTCCGGGAACTTACCCCATGTTCCTTGTGTTGTCTCTTCTTTGTCAGAGCCTCCTGTAACCTTGACATTCTGATCAGAGACTCTCAACTCAATTTTCTTTTCCTTTCTTTTTTGAGACAGGGTCTCGCTATATAGTTCAGGCTGGCCTCAAACTCACAGCGATCCTCCTGCCACAGCCTGCCTTGTGCTGAGATTATAGGTGTGAGCCACCACACCTGGCTTCAACTCGATTTTCTGTGGTTGCACATTAATATAAGAAAAATATATTTTGTGCTTTCCAGCATTCTTTTGCTGTGGGTCCTTGCTCTCTAGTAGTTTCCCTAGGCAGAGCCCACGGGAATAATACTCCTTAAGTCCTTGTGTCCAAGCCAATTTCCTTTGCTTAGCAGTTTTTAGGAGGATTCTTCAGGAGCATGCATGTCTTTGGTGATGTTTTCTCAGATCTGCTGCAGCTGGGCAATGCTGCCTCCTCCCCCTGTCTCTCTGGATGCCTGCCCGATGTCTTTGTCGGGGTTTCCACCCACCCCTCTGTGACCCTGTGGGTGTGGGGAGTTGATGGACTCGGCACCTCATGACAGCTCCTTTGTCTGCAGTAACTGTGTTTTGCAGCCTGTTCACTTCCTGCACTGATTATCCATTCTTCCCCAACAGCTTTGTTTTGCCTCAACTTCCCAGTGTCTATATTTATCTGATCTTGGTACCCCTTACCTTTTTGTTCGTTTTTTTCTTTTTTTTGAGACTGCAAGGTTTTGTTGTTGTTGTTGTTGTTGATGATGATGTTGTTTTGGGTTTTTTGGGAGACAGGGTCTCACTATATAGTTCAGGCCTGCCAGAATGTCTTTTAATTATATCCAAATGTGTGACATTATAGTATAACAGCAAAGAAAATAGGATTTGGAGCTATATCTCCCTGGCTTCTAATGCTAACTCTGCCACTTATGACCTAATGATGGACAGATTACATACCCTCTTTGATCATTGTTTTTAATCTCTGAAATGGAGATATTCTCAAGTATTTTATGTTGCTGTGAGGAGTGAGGTAATAAGCAGAGTACATTGAGGCTTGGCCCAGTGCTCTGCAAATAGTAAGTGTTCAAAAAGGCAACATTACAGCTAGGTATGGTAGTGCACACCTGTAATCCCAGTACCCCGGGAGGCTGAGGTAGGAGGATTGCAAATTGAAGCCCAATCTGGGCAATTCAGTGATTTAACATGACCCAGTCTCAAAATTTAAAAAAAGGGCTGAGAATGTAGCTCAGTGTAAAGGTCCTGGGTTCAATCCCCAGTACCAAAAAAATTATGTTTCATTGATTTCTTGGCATAGGTGACATATATAGCCACATTAGCCCTCTGTTTGGTGGCATCCTGTTAGCACCATGTGTGACTGGGGGATGCCGCCGTGGAGGGTGCCATCAGGACACACTTTGCACTGCCGTCTTGCACGAAATCCCATCCAGAATGACTGGTGCATAAGAGAAGGACAGACAGGTTGCTCTGGGATCTGGGCTGGGGGGCAGCAAGAAAGAGGGTGAGTAGGGTCTTTCCAGAAAGGCAGGATTCATTCAGGGAGAGGTCGGAAAGGCCAGGGTTGCCTCTGGAGGCTGGATATTCCCTGGTCTGATTCCTGGGATCAAGGACAGAGGTGGATGGACATGGAGTCCTGGGACTTGGTCCTGTGTCTGTGCTTCTCAACTTCTGGCAGGCCTGAGAAGGGGGGGGTGTCAGGCTCCCTGCAGAGAATTTGGGCTGAGGTCGGATGAAGCAGGGTTGGCACACAAGAGAGCCTAGCGCATTTGTAGTTAAGGCTTCCCTCTCTCCCTGTGTTCTCAGGAGCCCCAGGCAACCGCGGCTCAGACCATATCTGCCAGCAGCAGTGCCAATGCAGACCCCACTGGCCACAGCAGTTCTGGAAGTCAAGGTGTTCTTGAGCCCATGGATATCAAAGCCCAGGAGGACAGGAGGACACACACTGATGATGGGAGAACCAGAGGCAGGAAGAGTCCACAGGTGCAGGTGGTGGGGAGGACCGAGGGAGAGAGGGCGCACACAGCCCAGAGGACACAGGTGGATGTTGTGATGCAAGAAAGTGAGAGGCCCAAGTCAGACAGGAGTCCACAGAAGGATGTGATGCAGAGAAGGGTGGAGACACAGGTAGAAAGGATACCGGCAGATAAGAGGACACAAGAAAACAGGAGGACACAGGAAGGAGAGCAGACACAGCCAGAGGGCAGTGCCCCGCCAGCTACAGAAGGTCACCCAGAGCAGCAGTCTGTGACCAGCCTCAGCCTACCGCCCGGAGCCCCAGAGTCCCTGCCATTAGAGGGTCCCAGGTCTTCTGAGATTGCTGAATGTCCAGCACAGACCCCAGAAGCATCTTCTGCCCCAGAGAAACCTGGTTTTGTGCTCAGATCTGAGGAGCCATCAGTAAACACTTCCAGGAGCCATGAGGACACTGTCCAGCATCCCCTCCCATCGAGCTTCCTGTGCCCAGCACAGCTGCCCTCAGAGGGGAGCTTGGAGCACAGGGGAGGAGAGAGGCACCTGGAGCCCGAGGAGTCAGTCCCGGCCAAGGCTGGGCAGGAGGAGCAGTGGGGGGCTGTGCCATTTGTGGCCCTGGGTGGCTGTCCCCCAGCCGGCCCAAGCTTGGGGGTGTCCATCAAGCCCCGTCTTCCTGGGCCTGGGCTGACCAATAGCCCGAAGGAGGGGCTGCCCAGCACCCCAGGCCCTCAGCCCACAGGCACAGCTGGGCACCAGGCCAGGCTCAGTTCTGTCCCCACCTTACACCAGGGGCCAGAGCCCCACACTCAGAGTCCCCTGCCAGAAACCACGACCACCAGCAGCGAGGGGGCCTGTGCCAAGGAGCCCATCATTGAGGGGAGGCCTCCAGGATCCCGGAGCTGTGACCCCGGCCTCATCGATTCCCTGAAGAACTACTTACTTCTCTTGCTGAAGCTGTCCAGTACAGAATCCAGTGGGGTAATGACCGAGTCCCTGGCAGCGGCTGCCACAGTGGGTACAGCACTGTCCCCGGCTCTGGTGCCTACTGTGGAAGTGGCGGGGCTGAGTCCCCGGACATCGCGGCGCATCCTGGAGCGTGTGGAGAACAATCACCTGGTGCAGAGTGCACAGACCCTGCTGCTGAGCCCCTGCACCTCTCGGCGGCTCACTGGCCTCCTGGACCAAGAGGTGCAGGCTGGTCGCCAGGCACTGGCCACTGCCCAGGCTGCTCGGGGCCCTGGGCCCAGCCCTCTTTCGGTCCCTGCCATTGTAGTGGGAGAGGAGGACCCCAGGGTAGCTTCAGAGGAGTCTCTTGAGGGGCCTGGCCTCCAGGGTGGGCAGGCAGCAGAGAGAAGGGCCCTTAGGCCCTGCCAGGAGGAGAGAGGCCCAGGGGAGGCTCTGCAGGGGCTCCCGGCAGCTACCCCTGAAGAATTGGCTCTGGGGGCCCGGAGGAAGAGGTTTTTCCCTAAGGTCAGAGCAGCAGGAGATGGTGAGGTGGCCAAGCCTGAAGAAAGGGAAAGCCCTTCAGTTTCTCCCCGGAGCCACAGGAAGAACCTGGCACCAGGGTCCCCTGGGACTCCGGGGCGGGAAAGGCGCTCCCCTACCCAGGGCAGGAAGGCCACGCTGGAGGTGCCCCGGGCAGAGGAGGAGCTGGTGGCTGGAGAACTGGGCTCCAGCCCCAAGACTGGAGGTCCCAATGTAGAGCCTGGCCTGGATGAAGACACACAGGATGCTGCAGCCAAGACCCAGAAAGCCAAAGACCTGCTCAAAGGTGAGCAGGGGAGAGGTGAGGACAGCGCTGCTCCCAGCACAACCCAGGGGATAGATAACAGGGCCCTTTGAGAGACTTGGGAAGCAACTTAGTAAGACCCTGTCTAAAATAAAAAGGGCTTGGGGTACAGCTCTGTTCAAAGGTCCTGGGTTCAATCACCAGTACTGAGAAGAGAGGAACGAAGCACTGCCACAGGGCTGGGCTTTAGTAGCACCAGTTCTATCATGGTGTCATCCACAATCCCTCTCCACAGACCATCCCATTGCAGCATGGTGGGCTCAGGGTTCAAATGCAGGCTTCTGGAACTTGGGGCTCAGAGGTGGGCTGTGCTCTTCTCCGGGTTGCTGCTGTCTGTCTCCACTGTGAGGGGTCCAGCCTGGTTGGGCTTTGGTGTGGGCCTCTCTTGCTAAGATGTGAGCTTTGGGGGTCCAATCCCCAGCCTGAGCCCAGAGGGGAGGCAGTAGGGATATGGAGTGATGGGTCTGTGTGGAGACTTGAATCCCAACCCCCAAGGCCTGTCTCACCAAAGGCTCAGGAGCAGGGGTGTGGCCAGAAAGGCCACAGGGTGGAGGATGTGGCGTTGGCCTCTTACCCACCCCACTCGCAGCCCCTCAGGTGATCCGGAGGATCCGGGTGGAGCAGTTTCCGGATGCCTCCGGTAGCCTAAAGCTCTGGTGCCAGTTCTTCAACATCCTCAGTGACTCAGTCCTGACTTGGGCCAAGGACCAGCATGCAGTGGGCGAGGTGAGCAGGAGGTAAGTCCCAGGGTCCTGCTGCCAGCTACCCTGGCAATGATCCCGTACACGCTCCTCCCACTGTGAATCCATCACCTCACCCAACCTCACCATAACCCTAGGAGGGGCGCCATGATTCCCATAGTGAAGATGAGAAGATGGGGGTCAGAGGTGCTAAGTCACAGGGTTGTTGGTATTAGGGTCACAAAGCAGACCATGTGACCCAGGACCAGCTTGGCCACCAAACCCCTCACCGCCTCCCCAGGGCTCCCGGAGCCTCAGTTCCTAGCAGCCTCTAAGAGCAAGGTCAAAGGCCCTGGGGCTGGCAGTGGCCTTCACAAGAAGGGTCTCCACTCTCTGCAGTGCAGGGGATGAAGGGCCAGCGGCCCTGGCCATCGTGCAGGCATCCCCTGTGGACTATGGGGTGTACCGGTGCACCATCCACAACGAGCATGGCTCAGCCTCCACTGACTTCTGCCTCAGCCCCGAGGGTGAGTGGCTGGATGGGGGGGGTCTCTGCCTGGGAGAGAGCAGCTGTCTGTGCAGACAGGTGCTGGGCCTAGCAGGCACCCCGAAGCCAGCAGCATCCTCTTCTTTCCTCCATGCAGTGTTGTCTGGATTCATCTCCAGGGAAGAAGGTGAAGGTATGCTGTCATTCTGCAGGGGCTTGAGGGGGTCTCCATGCTGTTCCTTGCTCTCACTCCGTGATGTGGGCCTTTGTTAAGAGCTGGAATCAGTCCCCAAACCATGCACTGCCATCCTCTGCCTCCTGGATGACATGGGAGGAGGATGGAGGAGAAATGCCCCCAGTGAGTTCTGGGTTTCCCAGAGCCCCACAGACCTCTGAATTTGACTCGCACTGGAGCCCACTATCTGTGCAGCTCTGTGGCCCCTACTGCCCTGTAGCACCGCTCCTTTTGCAGTTCCTAGTGACAGTGACATAACCCCAAGTTTGACAAGCACTGCGGAGGCTCAGATGCCAGGGGAAGGGTCTGTCCTGCTGCAAGACCCCATGAAGGCTGCCATCCACCACCCATTCATTCACTCACCCAGCGCCCTTTGTTCAGTTACCAATTAAAATTTAATGTATATCAAATAGAACTTCACACTAAAATCATATCATCAAATGACCAGGTAGATTTCCCATCTGTCTCCATTGCTTTATTTGAACCAGGAGCAATTAATTGCTTTTAGTTGATAATCTCTAAATCTCTCTTAACATCTAACAGTTCCTCTCCCTTCATTCCTTTTCTCTCTTTGTCATTTATTTGTAGACCTCTTTAATGTGTAGAATTTCTTACACTCTGGATTTTTAAATTATTTACCCTTTACCATGTTCTTCCACACATGTGCTTCCTCTAAATTGGTAATTAGGTTGAGAGGTTTGGTCAGAGTCTGGTGTGATTTTTTTTTTGGTAGGAATAATTCACAGATGTGCTATGTATTCCTTTTGGATCCTATCCAGAGGCACGTAATGTCAAATTGTTTCACTTTATCTTTTACTTTTGGGGGTTTTTGAGAGAAGGTCTAGTTATGTAGTCCAAGTGGGCCTCAAACTTCCAACGATCCTCCTGTCTCACCCTCCTGAGTGCTGGGATGACAGGCGTGCGCCATAACGCCTGGCCTGGCTTGTTTCACTTTAGTAATAACGCTAAGGTTGATCATTGAGTTCAGCTAGGTGTTATAGGCATGATCCATCCCTTTCAAAAGTAAAAAACTATGTGATGTAGCTCCCTGTGTTTGTTATCTAGGGGGTTTAACAGTCACTGATTATTGCTGAAATCTATTACTTCATTAAGGAGTTACAACACGGAAGTATTTTAATTCTATCATTTCATCTTCATTTATTAGCTGAAATTTATCTGTAAAGATGAAATGATTATTTTATTACCCTCAAACATACGGGTCCAACAGAAAATAAAAGATAAATACTTGCTCCTTTTCCTGTTTTTACTAGATTTCAGAACAATGAGCTCATGTTCTAGCAACCACCAAAGGTGACCGACCAATAGGGTTTATTTCTTTTTGAGGAAAACGGGTTTTTTGTTTGTTTTGTTTTCAGTTACCATTATGAACAGGTGGGCTTTCAACATATCTGGTATGTGCAGTACATTGCAATAATTATTCTTTGTTGCTAGGATTGAGTTTCACTTTTGGCCAAAGGAATCCCATCCAGCTGGCTCCTGAGTCCTTTGACAAGCCTCCAGTTAAAACCACTCAAACTATAAAGGAGTTTTAAATTGCTTCCTTATTTCCTGGTCTCACAAAATGTTTCAGATCCATCCTCTAACTTATGTGGAGTCTAGAAGGATCTTTTTTTCCTTTTCTTTTCTTTCCTTTTCCTTTCCCTTTCCTGTCCTTTCTTTTAAAATTTATTTTTATCAGTACATGTTTGCAGTACATGCTGATTACATTCGTCTTGGGAAGTTGGTACAGGTACATAACACATCTTAATTCTTTCTTTTAAATTTTGAGACAAGTTCTCACTAAATCACTAAGTTCCAAAGACTGGACTTGTACTTATGATTCTCCTGCCTCAGCTTCCCAGAGTGCTGGGATTACAGCACCTCCATACCTGGCTTCAGCCACGTCCTTAGCTTGTTCTGGTTCCTTTTAGTGGGAAGTGGTACTAATACTGTATTTAGCAATCCCAGTTGGAGCGCCAGGGATGCTAAGTGCTTCTGGATCAGCCTGCAGACTTTTTGTCTCATCAAACATGGTGGTTGAGATGGAGTCATTTATTCAGTTCCTCAAGATACCTAGTTCTAGAACAGAGTAATTCCATTATCCTTCGTTGTCACAGAAACCCTGCCTTTCATGGGCCCTTGTTGAGCCCTTTCTGTGGGATGGGTACCACATGGGCACTGGTTGATGACAGAGATTGGTCAGCTTGTGTGCAAGCTCACTGTTTGGTAGGGGACACAGGTGTGTGGCCCAGGAGTCCCGTGGACAGAGTGGGTGCTGGGCAGCAGGGAAGGACACTGCCTGGGCTTTTGCTGCTCTGTGGACTCCTTCCCCTGCTGGCCAGGTGGAAGCTCTGAGTTTCCACCTTTCTCCTGTCCCCTCCAGTTGGAGAAGAGATTGAGATGACCCCCATGGTGTTTGCTAAGGGTCTGGCTGACTCTGGTTGCTGGGGGGACAAGCTGTTTGGACGACTGGTGAGCGAGGAGCTCCGAGGGGGTGGACATGGGGGTGGCCTGCGGAAGGCCTCCCAGGCCAAGGTCATCTATGGGCTGGAGCCCATCTTCGAGTCGGGCCGCACATGCATCATCAAGGTGTCCAGCCTGCTTGTGTTTGGGCCCAGCAGCGAGACCTCCCTCCTGGGCAGAAACTACGATGTCACCATCCAGGTACTGCACCCATCCCCAGCCCCATCGCTACCCTCTCTCACCTTTTTCCCTCGGTCAGCCTGGGTCCTGTTGGGAAGCCCAAAGCAGAGGCAGAGGCCATCTCCTCCTTTGCTTTAGCTTAGGAGGCTCCCTAGAGACTGAGGTGTAGCCCAAAATCTCCAGACATTTGGTCTAGAGAAATTTGGAAATTTTGAGAATATGACTAGGGACCTTTGTACTAAGCTGTATCCTCAACCACTTAATAAAAACAAACAAAAAAAATTTTTTGAGACAGTTTCCTTAAGTTGCTAAGTTTCCCAGACTGGACTCAAATTTGTGATCCTCCTGCCTCAGCCTCCCAGAGTGCTGGGATTACAGGCTACATCATCCTGGCTTCAAACTGTATTTTTTGCCCTGGAAACCTTTCCGTCTACTTCAAGCCCAGTCTCTCATAGAAGACTTATTTACATGGAGGTAGAGGGGTGTGATGCAGGTGGAAGGATGGTGTACCCCCTCTCCTTAGAGGGGCTTCGGGGGCACTGTTACCCAGCACTAGGGCTGCAAGATGAGGCCCAGGGAAGGGAGCCGGAAGGAGTGAGCCCACCTCCCTTCAGGCTGGCATCCTCCTGGCAGCCCCCCCGCAGGTGGATACACACTTGCAGCCAGGCAGCCAGAGAACTGGGAGCCTCCTTGCTGATTCTGTTTGGCTTCCTGTAACTGCAGGGTTGCAAGATCCAGAACATGAGCCGGGAGTACTGCAAAATCTTCGCAGCAGAAGCCCGGGTGGCCCCCGGCTTTGGGGAGGTGCCTGAGTAAGTGTATGGAAAGGGTCTGCAGCGATGGTGACTCTGCAGCCACCTGGAGGGCTACACCCTGCTCAGCTCAGTGGTCCCACAAAATCTAGAAATAGAGACCTCAATGTTCTTGCCCCACTTTAGAAAAGTCTCTGCTCTGGTCATGAGCCCTGCTGCCCCAATTTCATATCCTTTCCCCAGAGTTTGCTCCAGACTCCAGGAGTCTGGGGACATGAAGGGTGGGCTTAGTCACCGGGTCAGGACTGGTCAAGACTCTTCTGTGGAGTTTTGTGGGCATCAGCTGTAAATGGCAATCATTTCCATTTTGGGACTTGAATGCTAACTCTTGAGCATTTGGAGGAAAACTGGCATTGAGCCATGATCCGGTGGCACCCCTCCTGGAGCTGTCCTTTCTATTTGACAACACTGGCCCTGGCCCTCACCTACACCCAGTCTGCCTGGGGCCATAGCAATGTTGGTCCTCATCCCATTGGCCACAGGGAATGGACAGAACTCTAGAGCCAGTGGCCTCCTTCTCCTACCCCTAGTTCAGGAGGCACTTCCTGCCTCACTGTCCTTCAGGCTCATGGCCAAGAATGCCATTCCGGGAAAGGGCCCTTGTTTTAGATGCAGGAATATAGAACAGGGTTGGTGGGCAGATGTCTCAGGGCCACACTGCCTGCTGACTAAGGGGTGCACCTGTTTAGGATCATCCCTCTCTACCTGATCTACCGGCCTGCCAACACCATCCCGTATGCCACCCTGGAGGAGGACCTGGGGAAATCCCTGCAGTCCTACTGCTCCCGGGAAGGGGGCTGTACAGGGTTGCCAGCAGCACTCAGCAGCTCTGAGGTTGTGCAGAAATGCCAAGCCTTCCAGCACTGGCTGTACCAGTGGACAAACGGCAGCTTCCTCGTCACAGATTTGGCAGGTAGGAGGGGGTGAGGGTGCACAGGGCGTGGAGATGAAGGCATGTGGGGGAGGCAGAGGCACTGTGAGAGCACTTTCACGCTTACTCTGCTTTGCTTTGCACAATAGTCTAGCAGTGCAGATGGGCCAAGGGCCATTCTGCACGCAACCCTAACACATACCAGGGCTTCAGGTAGCCTGTCTGCAACAGCAGTTGCATTTAAAGGGCTAGTCCAAGCCTACTTAAAATTAAAAAGGAATTTGTTTCAAAGGACATTTCAATGGATCCTTGATTTATGAACTCAATTTGTTGGCAGGGCTGGTTGTAATGGAAGTTGGTCAGTTGAAGGCTCAGGCTCCTTTACATAGCCTTCAAAGTCTCCCATATACAGGCAAATCCCAGTGTCCTTAGAGAGACACTAGCCCAGGATTTCTCAGCCCCACACAGGAAAGGATGTTGTAATGTTCCTTCTAGAACTCTTTAAGGGTAAAACCTGTATCTGAGACCATGTGAAAGCACAAACGGCCTGCATTTGGGTCATAACTCAAGACTTTGGTCATAAGTTAAAACTAAAATTCCAGTTGTAACCCAAGTTGTTCGTATGTCAGGCCAGTCATAACTTGAGGATCCACTGTATATAGAAACTACATGTTGTATTTCAAAACTCACAGCCACCCTTTTCAAAACCTCCCTTCCCTGCAGCATTGCTTTAGACTCTCTCACCCTCCCTGTCTTTGTTAGATTTTTTTTTTTCTTTTTTCTTTTTGGGTGCTGGGGATGGAACCTAAGGCCTCACTTGCTAACCAAGTGTTCTACCACTGAGCTACATCGCCAGTCCTGTTAGCTTTATATAT